GTCAGGCTTGACAAAGCCCTGGCTGGGATGATTTAACTGGGATTTGGTCCTGCTTCGAGCAGGGGGGTGGACTAGATGACCTTCTGGGGTCCCTTCCAACCCTGATATTCTATGATTCTATGACCCTGCCCCCACAATGGGGGTCAGCTGGGCTAAATTTGAGTGAGTGGCATTGTGACCAGGCACACGGGGTCACAGCATCCCCCACTCAACTCTGGCCTGGCTGGCCCCCCACCATCCTGACAGAGCAGCGGCTGTGCGAAACCCGAGCAGCACTGAGACCCCAGAGGCAGAGCCCTGCATGGATACCCAATTTATATCCACAGATATAAAGCGGATATTCATGGAGCTGCAGGGCGTTAGCAACAACGAGTGAGACGAGCAGGGCCATGGCCAACGACCGGCCAGGAACCACAGCGGTAAAATCAGCAGCACGTCGGGCCTCGGTGCTGGAGGAGCCAACGCCCAGCCCAGGCAGCTCCTCCGGTGTGGCCATACTGCCCCCAGCCCTGCCCCATGGGGCAGGCACCAGGCTCACCAGCAGCTGTCCCTGGTCATGCTAGCGTGGTGAGCTGCTGACGGACATAAATTGTGTATCCGCGCCAGGCTCTACCCGGAGGTCATGATGCCCGGACAGGGCAGCTGAGCCCAGCCAGCCCCACAGGAGTAGGGCTACCCTGTGACCCCTTGAAACATTCTGGCCATCCGATTTTAGGTCGTGACCCACAGGTTGAGAAACCTTGTTCTACATAGAGTGCTAACAAGGTTCATGACACTGCTGATGCATGGGACTGCATCCATCTGCTCAAAACAGGCTGGTGAAAAACCACAGCAGCAATAAACGGCAGAGCACTGAAGGCAGTGGGTAGTGTTCTGTCCCATACACATCTTTGCAATCTGTCTTTTGCAAGCAGTAAGCATCTCCATGCCAGGTATGCAATTCATGGCAATGCTTAGCCAGCATCCTTAGGGCTATGTGCTGTACCTGCTTCGGGATCAGATGCAGTTTCTTGAGGCAGAATAAATAACTGATCTTGTCCGTACGTCACTAGCCCTTATGTGCTTATTGTTTCTCTGAGTTTAGAGTTAGAGGCAAAATGAAAGGTGGATACAGTGGTTACTATTATAATGCTGACTTTCACCACAGGCAACATTACTGCACTAATATAAAGGACAGCCATACCAGGAACCATGTTATAACATAACAGCAAATAGGTAACCTTCCTCCTCTTCGCCTCCCCCAAGATGAGACAAAATTAGTAACATCAATAATGTTAATTGCTTGCAAGTTGCAGATCACAGGATCTGAATACCCCTGATCCTAGAAATCAAGTCCATCCAGGCAGACTCTCCATGGAACCCTCTTGACTGCACTGGCATGCTGTCTGAGGGTAAGAGTCCAGCCATGAAGATATGATTGCAGGATATATGTTCTCTGACTTGTAAATTGCTGGAATTAAGTTTTGCTCATTTTGAGCTCAAGTTTATTAAAGCTCCTGCTTACTCCAGGGTGTGATCTACACAGTGGAGCAGAGGCCTGGGAGATAACAGTTGTGGGGTCTATTCTGAGCTGATCCATTGAGGGACCTTGGAGAAGTTACCACTTGCCTTTGAAAAATTCACCCTCCCGAGGACCATAGCTAGGCTGACCGAGTCCCTCGTGTAGATATGGCTCGGTTGAAATTCCTCCTTCGACATAGCTACTGCCACTCAGAGAGGTGGATTAGCTAACTCGATGCAAACAGCCATCTGTCGATGCAGAAAGCATCTACATTATGGCCCGTAGCACCGACACACCCTCAGTTTCCCCCTCAACACGGATAACTCTTCCCAACCTCACAGGGGTATTGTGAGGTTTAATTCATGCTTGCAAGTGTGTCTCAAACAAGAAGACACTACGCAAGAATAAAAAAAATATTCATAGCCAAAGGGGGGGTAACTGTGCTGTTAGGGATTATTTGAGCATCTTTCGGAGTCTGAAAGTTGGGATTCATCCATCCCTGGTGTGACTCTTCTCTTGCTCTTTTCCTACAGGCCTGATACGGTGGCGTTAGCAGATGTTGTCTGACAGCTGCTGCTTGCTTGGTTTTCCCCTAAACAACCAACAACAGCCACAGATTGTAGTTTTTCGTACTTGGGGCCCATAAATTCCTTTTATGCCAGTTGCATTCAGATTACACCTGCCTGCAATTTATCCCCTATGTTTTGTAGCTGGGTAGAAAGCACTTTCGGCAACAGCATTCAGCTTTCGTGTCCCTAGCTGCACCTCTGGCACTCAGAGGGAGTTGGTTTGCTTCCCCGGCTGGGATAAGGCCAGCCGCTGTGCACTTGACCTTGAAATCTCCAAGACAAGATAGGGGATGTCTGCACTTCGGGCTGGGAAGTGATTCTCAGCTTGAGGAGACATACCCACGCTGGCTTGCTAAAAATATAGAGTAACCAAGGCAGTGCAAGTGGTAGGAGGGGCGAGCTGCCTGAATACAGACCTAGCACCTTGGATGGGTACCAACTCAGGTGGCTTGCTCTGGCTGCCATTTGCACCGCTGTGGTTACATTTTATTTTCTGGGCACTAGCTCGATCAGATCTTGGACTCTCACCCCCTTGACCTTGGAATCACACCCCACGCCAAGTGTCGACAGACCCTTACTCACCTCAAGAGTTTTTAATTCTTCCTCTTCAACGTCTTTGTCGTTTTTCCCCTGCTTACCTTCCTGTATGACACTCAGTCCCTCTGCTTTGGGGACACGTCTGCCAGAGATCCAACTCAAACTAAAGGGAGCAACTTGTATTTTCCTTGAGCTGGTTTTCACACCATGAATTAGAGCGGCTAAAACATCCTAGGAGATCTTCTTGCCGGTCCCTCTGCTGCTTTAGACTGCCACTTTGTGCCCATCATTTAAATCATCACCACTCTTCTTAAGGGACCAAGCAGCATCACGACACAATAAATCCTTGGTAGGGACAGTGATCCCCATACTGCATGCCTTGAGCCTCACAAGTTCTGTTGTTTCAACCAATAATATTTTCTTACAAAGTGGTCTAATTTTAAAGAGGAATTTCAGAGCCGAGTATTTACGTCCCTGTGTGTAGTAGGATCAAATCTAGAAACGACAGATTTTTCCCCCCCCACCTGGTGCTTCTTAACATCACAGCCTATGCAAGATCAGAAATAACACTGCACCCCCTTTAACAGTGCAGCTCAATGCATTGAAAATCCAAATGCAAAATCTTTTATTTCAACCTTACCTAAGGGCTTAGAGCAGCCACAGAAGAGGATTTAGGCCAGGTCTGCACTCAAAGTTAAGTCAACCAGCTATGTCGCTCAGGGGTGTGAGAGACCCACACCTTTGAGTGACACAATTAAGTTGATCTGACACCCGTGTAGGCAGCGCTAGGCCCACGGAAGAATTCTTTTGCCAACTAGCTGCCACCTCGCGGGGAGGTGGATTAACTACAGTGACAGGAGACTGGAGTGAGTGGCTACAGTGAAGCACGTACAGTCCTGCAGCAGTGTTTCAAGCGTACACTAGCCCTGAGCCCTAGTTCACAAGCTGAGTAAACTGGAGTGGTAGTTTATCAATGTTTTCATTTGGAGATATAGGCTCATTCTCTCTAATACTCAGACAAGCCATGCAAGTCACCAGGAGACAAAGGCAAAGCCATGAGCAAGTTCACTGCCACCTTCAAGAGGAAACTTGAAGGGATTTATAATATAATTTTCCAGGTTAAACTATCTCACAAGTGTTGTGAGCTGGAAAGCAGTAGCCATTGTGGCTAGCTCGATCCCATTATTACCTCACACAGGAGGCAAAGAGCAGCTCTGCAAAGAGACCACACTGATCTTCTGGACAAGAGTAGGAACGACAACATGTCCTCGGTTATATTCGTATGCAGGTTGGTCATGGCCATTCCTGGTCATTCTGCCATTGGCAGCACATTGTCCAACTTACAGGGTGACCGTGCTCACAGACAGTATTGTAATTTTTTTTTTTTAAAAAAAAATCACCCAAATCTACAGTGGTTAGAGACACAAATAAAGGTGCAACGTCCTGAACAACCTGTCAAGAGGAGGAATCGTAGCCAGCTCTATTAAGAAAACCTCAGTTCTGCTAGGATGGGTCACCGGCCACCCAAGTCAGTCTCACACACGCGCACGCACACACATGCCAGTTTCCATCTCAAAAGAGACAAAGCAAGGCAAAAGTCTGGAAGAAAAAAAACAACTAAGGAAATAAGAAAGCAGAATGATTTATTTCAACCCAGGGAAACAGAAAACTAAGCCTGAGGGATTCAGCTAAGCTGGACTCAGCCCCTCCCCTTCCAGTGCCCCCCCGCCCCTTTGCCCCCATCACTTCACCAAGCCCTGGTTGAAACTCAAGGCATCAGTGCATAATTTGTTAAGTCTCTGCAGCTTTCCTGACATTCACTGGCATTCATGGCTACGCCCATCATGTAATGCTGAAACAGGGCATTGGGGGTGGGATGCAGACAGGCGCACACACGGATAATTGTCATTGGGACACCATCCATTTCAAGGAGAAAGCTCTCTGCTGGAGAGGCTGCAGAAGGCTCAGTGAATGTTCACTATATAGCAGAGAAATTCAGGCCTGTCTATCGGGCTAAGTCTGGAAGCATGGGACAGAATTTTGGTGGGAGTGAAATCATTTCACCTGGGCCCTTATAAACAACTTCCCTTTCACCCTAAACTAGAAGCCCTTAAGAAGCAGCCCGGTTGCTTCTGACCCCAGCAGATAAAGGCAGGAGGCTCTGGGGTGACTATAAACCCTGTGATCAGAATGAAAAGGGCAACTTTTTGTTCCTCTTTGGTAAATATTGTGGACGATTATCAGGATGTGAGACAGACAGACAGAGGGAGGGAGAAAGAGAAGGGAGGAGAGAGACAGTGTGTAAAGCACAGATCCTGTGACAGAGCCACGCACAGACAACAGGACACAGAGAGACCTGGGCACAAAGACAAAGGGAAAAGTTTAACGCTTACCCTGTAGGGCTTCTTTGGCTCGCGCTAGCTCTTGCTCTTTCTGGGCCAGTTGGAGTTTGAGCTCAGTGGCGGAGAGAACCTCTGTCGACTTGCCGCCATGTGTCTCCTCCAGATCTTTTGTTAGCATTTCCTTCATTTGTCGGAGCAGGTGAACCTCCTCTTGAAGCTGGGTCACTTCTTCTCGTAACAGCACTGGAGGAAGAGAGAACACAATTCGAGGAAGTGACTAGCTGCTCTCTTCGGCTCTGGCAGGTTTTCAGTCGCTCGGGCAGTTTGACAACCGAAACCCGGCTGGTGAAAAGAACCCAGCACTGGCGTTGTGCATGCAACTCTCAAGCCCCCGCAATGCCACTGAGTGGGACCACGGCACCCCCAGGTTAACCTGTTCGTCCTGCTTAGATACATGGTGCCAGAGGCACAGGTGAAGTGCAGTGGCAGTGAAGTCAATTGTATTCTCCGTAGAAATGCTTCACTGTAATTTGATAAGGGAGATTGCAATCTGCACACTGCAAAGCACTGAAGATATTTTGGACGGTCACCCAGGGGCTACTCCATAGGTTTAAAAAGATGAATGTGGTGGAGCAAATGCACCCTTGACATTAGAATTTTTCAGAGGAGGGATGGAACCAGTAGAAGGGAGCTCAGAGAGCTCCCGCCAGTAACTTGTTTCTATTCTGTTCCTTTGCCAGTTCTTATAGCCATGATCAGAGAGGAAATTTCAGCCCTTGGAGAAGCACTAGCAAAGATTTTCAAGGCTGATGGGTGATTTGGGGCGTCTTTATTTTTGGATGCCAGACTTAAAGCAGCTTGAAAAAAGGGTCGGATTTTCAGAAAGGGCTGAGGACCTACCTTCTGGAAATCAGGGTGCTTTAAGATTTCTCAGACTGGTTACCCCAAAATCGTCCATCATTTAAAAAAATCTTGACCATTACCTCTAAATTCTGCTAATTTAAGGCCCCTGCTGTTCCTTAATGATTTTTGCTATAGCCACAATATCTAGAGAAAGCAATTGCTCAGTCGGTTCTCAGTAGATGTTGCCTTCAACTCTCGATCTACTCCACTGAGTTTCACTGTATCTAAGTTCACTGCGAGCAGGTTCTGCTTACATTCACCCATGTGCTCAAACTCTGCCCAAGAAATCTTAGCAAAGGTGTTTTGAGAGATCTTGGGGGGGGGGGGGGGGAGAATCTCCTTTCATTTATGGGCAAAAACCAAAGTTTTAAAGCTTTCAATCCTTGTTGTCTGTATCTAATTCTTCTACATTAATTACTAAGCATCACTAGCCCCTTAAAGTACTATCCCTACAAGTATGGAAGCAGAGGGCAAGGATCCTGAAACGTTAAAGCAAGTTCAGAAATAGTCCTTGCGAGTTAAACTCCATTATTATTATTATTATTTTTTTGCATAGTTCATGTGTGTACAGGAAAGGAGGTTCTGATTGGCTCTAGAAAAACAGCTGCTTCTATTGAGAACCATTTGGTGGCCAACTAAAACCCAACCAAATGCTATCCAGAAGCATCTCTAAGAGTCAAGGCAACAGAGATGAAGTATCCTCCATAGGCCATTTACAAAATATGCATCTTTAAAGAGACTCATGAGAAGCCATTATGACAAACTGCTGTAAAATGATGCATTTTGGGCTGTGACGGATGCCAAATACAGCTTGCCGGAGCGTTGTAGGGCATCCATTGTCATAAATATTGCAAGTGTGTATGCAGGTGGGGGAGGAGAGAGAGCGAGCCTCATACATCGAAAGGTTAAAGTGATACATGGGAGCAGATCTGTTCCTCAGCTGAATAATGGAATCCCAGACAATACTGTAGGGGGCTAGTTTCTGAACCATTATCACAGCAATATGGAGCGAGAACAGCGAAGATGCTTACTGCTGTTTAAAAGGGGTATGTAATACAAGACGAGACTCGCATCACTGCTGGTTACAGATGAAATATTCAGAGACACCGCACTCAGAAATGCATTATGCTCTACTGTTCTTAGGACCTACTTGCCCTCGCTTTCCATTATCCTTACACCCACTGGGTTCGCCCCACCTAAGTCTTTGGAAATATATATATATATTTTTTTAAGCAATATATATATATGGAGTAAATAACTCCTCCAAACAAGCAGTCGTACTTTCAACAGGGCATGTTTTCAAACTCCAGTTTGACCCAGGGTCACTCCTAGAACAGCAGCACGAACACGAACATAAAACAGGAATCAATGAGCATATTCAAGAGCACAGCCGAAAAATCTTCCAGCGCCGACTCCACCAATAACAATGTTGCCATGAAGACCAGTGGAGCCAGAAGTTAAAACTCTACAGTCCCCTGTATTTAGGTGCCATGCGGTGCCTGCCAAACCGGTATTTTTAGACCAGCCAGCTTTCTGCCACCATTGGACTGCCGGAGTGGAGTCCCTGATTAAAAAGGGCACTGAAGTGCTGTATCTACCCCTCACCACAGCACCGCTGTGGAAACAAGGCATGAAGGGAAGATAAGAGCCGAACAAGGACAGTTGGGAGGGGGGAAAAAGGAGGGTGGGTTTTCTTTAAAAAAAATGTACATGGTGGGGAACGGGAAGGACATTTTGTTTGCGGCTTCAAAGCGGTCACCCAGGGAGAGATTATACCTGCGTCGCCTGCTTCTTTTGAAAATCCATTGACCTGCCAAATCTCCCTCCTCCGCTGACAGCCGGCTCTGGAAGGGTAGACTAGCTCCGGGCTGTTGCCGAGACCTTCGTCTGTGCAAATCTCTGCGGCCGGAAATTGTGCGTGGCCTCCACAGAGCTGCACCGAAGTGCACCACCAGCTTTCAGCGAAACAGGCAGCTGGCGCAGAACCACGCTGCACCGCGGGGAGTGCCGGCGGCCCCAGGCCTCCCAGAGCTCCCCTGAGCTCTGGCTGCATCTTTGAGGGTGTGCTCCTTTTGCGTCCAGTTAGGTGCACCTACAGCACTTCTTTCTCCCTAATCCACTTGAGGTGGCCAAAGCACAGGGTAGGGGAAAGGGGGAGGGAGTGCGAGGACTGAAGATGTGGCTGGCCCCTGGACAGGGAGTACAGAGGGGGGAAAAAGGCGGCTTCTCTCCCCTCCCCGCCTGCCCCTCCTGTTCAAGGACCAGACCATCTGGCCAACAGAGTTAAAAGGATAACCCTGTGATATCAGCCTGTCATGAGAGGTACCAACACTGTGCCATTGCTCAGCCCACCCGGTCTCTAGAAAGCAGCTTTCCAGGGAGCAGACCCGCCCCGTGTTTCCAAAGGGCTGTCTGATCCCGCTCGGAGCCTCCAGCTCCTTATCTAGTCCTCTTGCTGGCCTTGAGAGGGCAAGACAGAGAGAGGCACACGTTGCATGTGATACACAGAATCACGGGTTGCTCTGATCACCAACCCAGAACCTGGATTCCTTTGGCTCTCGTAGGACAATCAAAACCCCTCCAAAAGCAGACATTTGTCCCAAGTTTAAACTGCTGGACTTTGCTCTTCAGACCCAACTTTAGTCATGACAACAGAAAACCCCTGTCTAAACCAGTGTTTGACTACATTTATACTGCGCATTCGCTCCCCAGAGTAAATAATGGGCCCCGATAAATGGTGCCTCTGTGGGCAGCACAGAAGCAATTTGGTTTCCTTAGGCCGAGCAAGAGGAGTGTTGCTAGTTCATATGGTTTTGAAGAGTTGATTCCAAACCATAAATATCCACGTGTTACATACAGGAATAAAACGTGCAAGAAATATTTCAAGGGATTTTATTCAGACCAGAGACCCTGGCCTTCTTACTGATCCATATCTTTAAAGAGGCAGCAGCCCCAATGTAATACTAACAGGTTTCAGAGGAACAGCCGTGTTAGTCTGTATTCGCAAAAAGAAAAGGAGTACTTGTGGCACCTTAGAGACTAACCAATTTATTGAGCATGAGCTTTCGTGAGCTACAGCTCACTTCATCAGATGTTTACCGTTGAAACTGCAGCAGACTTTATATACACACAGAAATCATAAAACAATACCTCCTCCCACCCCACTGTCCTGCTGGTAATAGCTTATCTAAAGTGATCAACAGGTGGGCCATTTCCAGCACAAATCCAGGTTTTCTCACCCTCCACCCCCCACACAAATTCACTCTCCTGCTGGTGCTAGCCCATCCAAAGTGACAACTCTTTACATAATCAAGTCGGGCTATTTCCTGCATAGATCAAGGTTTTCTCACATCCCCCCCACCCCCATACACACACAAACTCACTCTCCTGCTGGTAATAGCTCATCTAAACTGACCACTCTCCAGGTTTAAATCCAAGTTAAACCAGAACATCTGGGGGCGGGGGGTAGGAAAAACAAGAGGAAACAGGCTACCTTGCATAATGACTTAGCCACTCCCAGTCTCTATTTAAGCCTAAATTAATAGTATCCAATTTGCAAATGAATTCCAATTCAGCAGTTTCTCGCTGGAGTCTGGATTTGAAGTTTTTTTGTTTTAAGATAGCGACCTTCATGTCTGTGATTGCGTGACCAGAGAGATTGAAGTGTTCTCCGACTGGTTTATGAATGTTATAATTCTTGACATCTGATTTGTGTCCATTTATTCTTTTACGTAGGGACTGTCCAGTTTGACCAATGTACATGGCAGAGGGGCATTGCTCGCACATGATGGCATATATCACATTGGTGGATGTGCAGGTGAACGAGCCTCTGATAGTGTGGCTGATGTTATTAGGCCCTGTGATGGTGTCCCCTGAATAGATATGTGGGCACAATTGGCAAGGGCTTTGTTGCAAGGATAAGTTCCTGGGTTAGTGGTTCTGTTGTGTGGTATGTGGTTGTTGGTGAGTATTTGCTTCAGGTTGGGGGCTGTCTGTAGGCAAGGACTGGCTGTCTCCCAAGACTTGTGAGAGTGTTGGGTCATCCTTTAGGATAGGTTGTAGATCCTTAATAATGCGTTGGAGGGGTTTTAGTTGGGGGTGAAGGTGAGCTAGTGGCGTTCTGTTATTTTCTTTGTTAGGCCTGTCCTGTAGTAGGTAACTTCTGGGAACTCTTCTGGCTCTATCAATCTGTTTCTTTACTTCTGCAGGTGGGTATTGTAGTTGTAAGAAAGCTTGACAGAGATCTTGTAGGTGTTTGTCTCTGTCTGAGGGGTTGGAGCAAATGTTGTAGAGAGTTGGTGTAGACATGGATGTGTGGTGTGTAGGTGAAAGCTGGAGGC